CATCAAGTAGTTGAACATATCACTGGTAATAAGTATAAGGTTAGAGAAATTAAATACTGGTCAGTATAAAGAATCGCATCTAGATCATATGAAGTTAGTATGTGATGATAATGATGTTCCAACCCAGACTAATGTGACAGACTCTGACAGTCCCTCCTGATCCTGTATCTCTCTTCCTCTGATACTCAGTCAGACGATCAACCTGAATGTCGTTATTCCCTACGTACAAAGACAGGTATTGAGAAAAACCTCAAGTATCATTTGTTACTTCCAATTTAGATTTGCCCCCAAATACAGCATGAGTTAGCCAGTGCAACAGAGTTTGATCCTCCCAGAGATGACACCCATTCTGCATATGTCAATCTCACCCTAGCAGAGTTGGGGTTAAATGTAAATAACCTGTATAGATGAATAATTACAGTATCAACTTATCGGTATTCAAGAATTTTTATTAGTGTTCACGTTCTCTCCGAATTCTGAGAGTTAACAGTCTAGAAATTTTAGTGCACCGAATCTGCCTTTCTGTTAAACACTTCTTTCTTTGTATATATTCCTTCCTCAGAATCCGTAGATCACATGAATACAGATCGATCGATCAAATTTTTTTTTATAACTTCTAATGTGTAATCCCAATGTTGAGTCTCATTCGATGAGTTGTGCTATATTATACCTTGTATTTCATTACAGTTTCAGTTACTAAGCTTTCCATTTCCAATATTCTACTTATGTATGTTATAATGGTTCAATTGTTGTGTACTTTGACATTGTATAGAATCAGCCCAAGCCGTATACCTGCATCCTCTAGTTTGTATTAGTTGTATGTCGGGATGACATACGTTAGCGTCACCGAGCTCTCATTAGTAGTACCAGTTCCTAGTAACCAGTTACCAGTAACAGTGTACCAGTAGATGACTCACTACCAACCGTCTGTGTGAATCATTGACTGTATTCATATTGCTGCTGACCATAGCAGGGTTTCAAACACCCTCACACAGTAGACACTTGTGAGTCAGTCAAGATAGGGAGCAGAGAGAGGCAGGCGGCTGTTGGTGCCTTCCCATACTTCCGTTATAATAATTATAAAAGACTACCAGCCTACGTGAGTATTTTACCCCTTCCACCTTTATCGAAACCCACATGACATATATATATATATATATATAAATATATATTTATATATATAATATATATATATATATATATAATTTAAATATATATATATTTTAAAATGACTCACGAAATCGTAATGACACGATTGCAAACAAACCATACCATGGGCGGGATTGAACCCGCGGTCAGAATCTCCAAATTCCAGGACGTCGCGTTAGCCACTGGACCAGTAGCCACAATATTAAACATACTACCAGCCTAGTGAGTAATCTTACCCCTTCCACCTTTATCGAAACCCACATGAAAATATATATATATATAAATAATATATATATATATATAAATAATATATATATATATATTATATATATAAGCCAACCTTTATATCAACAATGTACCTTTAAACTCGTGCCATATTATGTAATAAAATATTCCAATTGGTAAAAAAAAAAAAGTTTAAAGATGGGTTGGGAGGGGAATGGAATATTTAAATGGCTTCAGGAAAAAATCCAAAAATTCTTCCTTAAGCCTTTTTTTTCCACTTCTCCGAGGCTATGGGGCCCCCTTTACACCAGAGGGGGACCCCATCCTATATAATATATTTATATATTTTTAAAAATAATATAATATTATATGACTCACGAAAAACGTAAAAGACACATTGCAAACAAACCATACCACGGGCGGGATTTAACCCCCGGTCAAGTCCCAAATTCCAAACCCTCGCGTTACACTGGACCCCTAGCCACAAAAAAATTTGTTCAAAAGGTATATTTCTACACCCTATTCTACACCTATGGTGAGAAAAAATACCTAGTTGGGGCAAATTTTTTGTGGTGCGGCCCCGGG